CTCTCCTAAATAAACTGAAACAAAGATGTCTCATGTCATTATCCATGGCAACGATGAAGTAGAATTTTTTCCAGGGTCATTTTTTTAACGAAATTTCATGGACATCGATGTTTATTTTTTTTAAACGGAATATTATTTGTTTTTACTACGGTGCGATAGCCGCGACCGAGACGATTTCAGAATGGTACTATGGAAGATCATTCAAGATCACCAAAGACTGCAAAATCACAGAATTATTAGGTCTACCGGAAAGTTCTGTCCGATGGTGTCAATTCAAGTTTCAATCCGTATGCACATGTTGATTGAGACATATATGACTACCTCTCTTTATCATTGCATTTACACACATGTACTCTCCTAAATAAACTGAAACAAAGATGTCTCATGTCATTATTAAGCGAGACGCGATCGTGAAAACATGGCTACCGATGATAACGCCAGACCACATGCTGCTTTGGCGGCTCGTCAGAAAATCGCAGAGCTAGGCTGGGAAATTCTGTCGCATCCACCGTACTCCCCAGACCTAGCACCCTCCGATCATCACTTGTTTCTCTCTTTGCAAAACTTTTTACAGGAAAAAAATTCAAAACTGAAGCTGATGTCAACCAAGCACTAGTCGAGTTCTTCGCCTCTAAAAATAAATCATTTTGAAAAAATGGCATTTACAAGTTGCCGTCACGCTGGCAAGAAGTCATAAGTAACGATGGAAAGTATATTCTACAATAAATATTATTAAATGTACGAAAATTGTGTTATATTTCAATTCAAAAACGGACAGAATTTCCCGGTAGACCTAATATATTATCCGTTCAGGCACCTATCCGGTAGGCACTAGTCCACGTTCGGCAATCGTTAGTCGGAAAAAGTCTTCTATTTAAAAAAAACTGTCAATTGAAAGTGTTCTCACATTTATCTTTACAAGTTCTGTTCTGCACAGTACTGTTTTTAGACAGCGAAAAAGACAGACGAAGCAGCGACTAAAAATAGAACGTCGTTTTGACGTTCATGAAATATTAACCCTTCGCCATACGCTGGCAAGAAGTCATAAGTAACGATGGAAAGTATACTCTACAATAAATATTATTAAATGTATGAAAATTCTGTTATATTTCAATTCAGAAACGGACAGAACTTTCCGGTAGACCTAATACTTACAACGTCTCGCGGAATTACCATTGAAAAGAGAATGATTGAGATCGTTCCGGGGATTCGGTTTCATCGGTGCCGAGTGGTATTCGTATGAACGACGAAAATGTTGCCGCTACGGGGTAGGATATCGGATCGTGTTCGCGCCAAAAAATTTGTCTCGCTGTTGGCACGAACGCGATTTCGGTAGGTGGTCCGGTTGTAGTCTTGTCTCGAATTTACGCGTTGCCCCC